ATCACATGACCAGCAGAACATGAACTTCTATTGGTCACTGTATTTGTGAAATGGATAGTGGGGACTCAATGCTTCAAACATTGCTGCTCAGCCAAGGGTATTCTTTCCATACATTATGCTTACTCACATTGATCCTTTGCAATAAACTAACCGCTACTTTTCTAGTTTGCTTCCTGCGTCCCGGAACTGGAGTTCATGGCATACAATTATCAGTACGTTTTAATACTTCGACTTCGAATGTAATTTATATTCCGGATTTCCATCTGTTGGGCTTACTATAAGCACCAATTCACCTTTTGTCTATTCATTGGTGCACAACAACATTTGGTTGCAAATCCCAGCCATTGTAAATGATTGTCTCTGGTTTTCTAAACCAATAGCTTGATTTGTATCGTCGTGACTCCATGAGGAAGTGATTCGAAGCAGCCCCGCTCAAACATGTTTGTTCCTAGGCAAAAATCTCGGTTTTGAAAGTCAGCGGCTCCTGAAATAAATTCATATCACCTCATGAATTTTTGTTTGACTATCAGATACCAACTATCAGTTGGTGTCCAATGAAAAAGGAAGTGTTTTGCGAATCATAATGTCATTCGCATCGCTTTCCTTTTTCTTTTTTTCTTTTTTCATGTTTATTTCCTTTTATTTAGTACTCAGTGATACAAATTTCAAGAAGGGGGAAGCGGAGAATCAAAGGGCTGCTATACAACACAATGGTATCAGGCGACGGGGATGGGACTCGAACAAACGTCCTTCGGGGTGATAATTTGGTGGCGTTACCACCGGATCACCACCGCCCAAAGTCGACCGCTGTCGAATGAACTCGAAACACTAACCTTTCCGCTAACAGCCGATCAATCAATCTCAACAGCAGGAATGTCACGAGTTCAAGAGTATAGGGCACCAACATATTGCACAAACTACACTTTCTCCCAGTTTGGAAAACCCATTGTTTTATTGTCACTGAACTCATCTTACACTGAAACAACTAGATGCTGTGATTTTGTGCGTTTGTCTGTTTTAATTACTGCCTTATGTTTGATATATTCGAAGTGATTGCTGGTAACCGTCAGCACCGCGGACACCGGGCATTCCCACGCAAAAACGCTTTGAGTACGCGTGTTTCAACAACACAGTTTTTCTTATCTCCAATCACCTTGGTAGCACTGAGGGAAAGACAATACCGCCTGTAAAGTAAAACTTTATTTGTGATAGAGCTGATTTCACCCGGGTTTTAGTAATGTTACAAGGAATATTCATATCATGCATGGTTTTTTTTATGTTCTGATCAAAAAATTTTCCAACGTAAAAGACACGAATGAAATCCCCTGAGATCTTTTTCACCATCGTACGGAGTGACTGACCTCGGTGAAAAACTCAATAACTATTGTACCTGTTATCACTTTGATCAATTTTATTCAAAACAAGAATTACCTCCGTCTGTTATCCATTGTGTCATTTGAAATGCTTACAGTGTTTCGGCAGATGGGTATGATGATTTTTCTGGTTTGTTTGTAAGTTTTTTCCTGTCTCATCCACTCTCGCATCAACACCACCATCAGCACCGCCACCGCCAACTACTACTACTGCTACTACAACTACAATATTCGCTGATTATTCCCCCATTCCATATCACTCTGTTATTCACCTTGAGTTCACTCCTAAACAAGGTCGGTATCGGATTGTGAAAAAAACAAGACTCCGTTTGATGTGACAGGCTAAAAATGAAACAAAGAAACAATATTCAGAATCAGATTTGATCAATTTCATCTATGCGCGGTTCACTGTGTTCCGAGGATACAAACACAGAACGTGTGAATTTTGGCAGCGTTTGCGAGTATTATCAATAAAATCAATAAAGACTAACAAAGCGCACCGATTTCGATCGATTCAAACAGTGCTAGTTTGATTAGTGTGAAATTGTTTTACATGGGGGGTTTTATACGTTTCACGCTACCGCGTGTTTGACATTTCTGGAAAGACCTATAGAGTAAATAATACTGTTTGCACATTGTTTGTCTTAATACGGGATAAACTTAACGTCAGAAACTGGAACGGGGCATCTCAAAACGGGCGAATGCATAACAAATAACAAACAAAATGGTACAGAGTTCCTGGAATTCAATGAGCCTGGATTGTTGGGTCCGTGGTTGATTGACAAACGTGAATAGATTCCATTAGCATGCGCTTCTGGCAATGAGCAATGATTTTGTCCCATCCGGGTATTGCAACCCATCCGTCCGTAACCCATAAAATAAAGCAAAAAATGGTATATTCCAAGCCCGAATTCCCAAAGTTCAATTTCTGAATAAGTCCGACAAACCCGATTAGTGTAGGACGACATTTTCATGAACGGAGTAGGAAATTCAATTAAAAACTTGCCGATTAACCGCAACCGAAATTGCATAATCAAACGCATGTACACGTTTATGATATGCATGTAGCTTGTTGTTAACATGGTTCTATATAGGTTGAATACTTTTTCGGAAAAATCCTGAATATTGGCGTACATTTTTTTAAAAACAGTGGTTTTCACTTCAAAGGAAGCAATCAACATGAATCTAGTGTACTACAAAATTTTAGGGTTTGGTGAAACGGTCTTTTCAACCTTTTCTGGTGTCACGCTTTTTCGTCACCAGTTTACATTCTCCTTAGATTGCTGATTTTTTCAGAAAAATATTCCATTCTGATCACGCCATATTCATCAATGATTATCGATCGTGTTGCCTTCCGACTGAATGAACTTGGTGGGAAAGCAATCGTAACAGACCGTAAACCTTTGTTTCTCGTCTGATTCAGCGCACCAATAAATGGATGGGCTCTTTTTTCATGGACCACTGTGTGCACCATCTCCTCAATCCCTGACAGTTATGACATGGGGAAAGAGAGGATCACGACTCAAGCATAGTGGTCGAATAAACTCAACCCAAACGTATACAAGGGTCAATCCCACAAGTTGAGGGAAACATAACGATGGATTATTAGGGTTTGGGCTCTGACTGATTGACTGTTTTGGATTGGAAGATTGTGTCTAACGGCTTCAATGATCATCCAATTCGGTTCGCGTAATCGAACGCAGGGTGCGCACGATGAGCACCGGTCGTGACTACTTGCATCGCCCTAACAGTTCGACCTCGGTATCGTAAAACAAAGTAGTTCAACTTGTCATTAAGTCTTTTTTCATAATAATTTGATAGCTAATGCATTTTCCTAGATGATGCAGTTCAATCACTCTTTGCAATACCAAAGTGCGTTGTTGCATGTGAAATACTGTGATCCTGTCTGGGTTTGTGCGGTGATCCAGACTTCCGTAACCGCAATCCACACACGACCAGGTACAGTTCTATGTCGTCCAATCACCGTTCAGGAAGCTCGGCCAATGGTACACCGGGTGAACATGACATCCGAGTTACTACATATGATGCGTCGGTGCAAATGGTTACATCTTTAGAGGACGGTCGGTCAACCAATCATATGGACTATTACATTCTATAAAACATGATCTAATTCCATCAATAAACATAAGCATTTGCTGCTATCAATTCCTCGTGGTGTCCGCATTTTGGGTTGGAGCCAATCCGGTTCTGAGTAGTACATTACGGGTTCTCGTATTTCTATATTCAGTACTATTCCGATTACCGCAGTTTGGGCTTACACCTCCTGGGCATTTTTACCACTTGGTTTGGCACCGGTCCGAGCCTAATAGTAATGCATCAACCCTTTCCCCGACACCGTCCACAATCTTTTTCGCAACTTCTTCTTTCCTATTACAAGCAACTTTTCTCTGCAAACCTTACTAATTTGGTCTGCCCGTTGCTTTCATTTACTCGATGAACCTGGTCACAAGTGTTGGTTTAACCTTACCAGGTGACTCTGGAAACCTATCGAGCGGCAGATCCGAGGAACACGAGAATACAATTCATTACTGCGTTTACTTTTGTCTCCATCGCATCAGGGCTCTTTATTCAATGAGCGCGAAAGCCGGACATTGTTTCCCGCTCCCTCCACTGTGCAGTGCTGTTTATCACTATGGGGTTTACACAATTACTTGATTCACTAAGACAGTGAGCATATGAGTGCGATCGGTTATATCACCCAAAAGAAGTATGTGATGGTATTCAAAACGCCATAACATTAACCAGGAATAACACGCATATCCACAGTAAAAGCCTAAGCAAAGGAAACTTTATGAATGTTTTTGTCGGACAATTAACGAATCAGCCTAAAAGCAAACTCCTCATGGGAAACTTTATCCATCAACTTAAATCCTTACACCTTGCGAATACGAGAGATACCCAGTCAAGCTGGGTCAAAATAACCAATTTCCGCAGTTGACAATACACTGGGGCATAATTTTCAGCTGATCAATTGATCCTTATGCCGACGAGTAGTTGTCTGTCAATACCGTCACGTGAACATTACATCTTTCCTTACCAGTCAGTTAACCAACGTCATTGTATTGGTTTGCGAATCAAAAGTGAACTGAACTTAACAAGTCTAGATGGAAGCAAACACCTTTAGAAAAACAATGTCACTTTCGAACAATTGGAGATGAGGATTTATTGATTTTCTCACCCAGACATTAATGAAAAATTTGTTTATTTGTTGTATCTGGTCATGTTAACGATTTGCTTCAGCTTGGCAATCGCAATATGCTAGGAATGCTTTCCCGCATGACGACACTACCATTTGTAGACTTCCAAACTCGTTGATTTCCGTACGTCGGTCTTTCTAGTTTTTATGTATATATGGCGAACAAAGTACAATTAGCGTTCGGTTATGGAAATTTTAATTGAATTCACTGTCTGTTGGGCAGAAAATTATTGCACATTTATATATGATGTATTCATAAGTTGATGAATGACCGAGAACAAGCACCGCTACTGTTTTGTTTTTCTACGAAACCTTTTTCCTTATCAACTAGGCGAAAATGATAATCTCTGTTCTTATTCCAATATGACAGTATAAACAAACTGATTCGTCATCCATTTTCTTCTGTACAGGTGAAATCACTACGGAAAACCTTGCTCAGATATTCACAATACTCTTACTCATCACCGGTGCAGCTGTTTTGGGTTATCTAATCTGGTATCGGAAGCGCATCAAATTACGATCCTCGTGTCATCGATTTTATCCAAACGCTTCAGGCAAAGAACTATCTTGCTTCCGGTAAGGCATTCTTGCCCCTTTTGTTCTGAATGATGAATTTTTTTGCATAGGTTTCGACAACCGGGCCAGACAAAGAGAGTAACTTCAGACAGTGGATTCTCGGCCGATCCGAAATCACTACACATTGTCAACCGTTTTGATCTGGACTTCAACTCAGGCACTTCCTGTATTATTCCCAACCCGATGCTTTCCAAGTGTCATCCGGATGTCCAGTTGAAATCTACACCAGATACCTCATCGCTCTCGCCGGAGTTTTTGACACGTAACAATGAATCATGGCAACCCGATATACTTTATAGATCGGTGAGCATGAGGCCGTCAAGAATGCGTAATATTGAACATGTGGTAATGGAATCTGGTGTTATCAGTATGCTGAGTAAGTCCAGATTAACTTTCAATTGAGTGGTAATGGTGCAAATCAAACGGCGATTGATTCCAGCAATACATCAACAACGTCTTTAATTCTAAACAAAGCTCCTGGATGAGGATGATGATTCGGAGGATGATGATGATGATGATGATGATGATGATGATGATGATGGTGATGATGACTCGCATCAAGATGACAATATTGCCTCTGATGTTGATGATGGTATCAGAAAAGCTTTTTTTATATTGTGAGTAACCGAGGATATGATTAAATTTCAAAGAGTATTTTCCTCGTGTATATGTCAAACGAAGCGTGAGCTGAAAAGTAGGAAACACTAGACAGCTGTTTCGACCTGATTGGGTCTGATAAGCAGTGCGAATCCATCGACCCAACTGGGGATTGAACCCGGGACCTCACAGGCAGAGCGCAAGCATGCTGCCCAATCGGCCACTGGGCAGCTGATTAGGCCGTTTTTCATTTTCCATTCACACGATATACTCACATGAAATAAGTAGTCTGGTTGTGAAAGTATTCAACCGAGTCATAACCCCGGAGGCTAGTACTGAGAAGATCGAGGTCTGTGGCCTGCAACAAGGTCGCAAAGATGTGTTGTGCTATATCCTACTTTTCAGCTCACGCTTCATTTGACATATACACGACGAATTTCCCCTTTGAAACCTTTTAATTTTGTTAGGTATTCACGTAAACAAGAACTTTACTAGTTAAGTGAATAATAACTTGTCTCTCGCATGTTTTAGGTGATTGTAACAGCTTTGAGGTACCAGGTGTCTCGTGAATCGCCGTCTCCTCTGCATTCATTATAAAGACTAACGGAACCGATGGAGTCACATTGCACAAGGTTCCTCTGTCTGCTCTTTTACTATAAATCAACTTGATTGCGATCTCAAGACCCTTAGACTGAAAGAACGTTTCTATCACGTGCACCACGATAGCCTCCTCGAAGGCATTGGTGATCAAATACGAAAAATAAATTAGCATCCTCAACGCGGACGGTCTCGCAACCGTAGAGCAGAACACTACGAACTGCGGCGATGTACAACCTTCCCTTAAGGGAGAGTCAGATCTCATGGTGCTCCATAGGTATCGCAGGTTGGCAAAAGTTGCCCTAGCTTTTGCTATTTGTGATAGGAACGTCTACAACGCATTATTCTAAATTAGCGCTCAAGAACCGTAATACCAAAATCTCCTGGAACTGCCAAATAGTACTATAAACCTTTTTCGGATTAATCGGTTGTATTCCACAACATTAGACGTCCTAAATATTTCTCCAGTTTTTCACCTAGCAAACGAAAATATATATATGGTCACCGTGGAAATGGGTAACTTAGTTGGAACAAACCCCACCACAACCAATCACGCAACGGAATTGACCTGGTTCTTTTAAAATCGACACATTTGTGGAAGTTGCATTGTGTAATCGAGACGGCTAAAATAACGTACAGTGAGTGGTTTTCGTGCTATGGAGGGGCGCGTTTATCGGTTTCGAAGCAAACCACTCTTGTTCAGTTATTATATTTATTATCTGTTTTCTATCATTTGGTAAACATTGGACTCTGTTTTCACCTGGCGAGGGATTCGCTGCAAGGTAAAATCAAATCTCTGTGGCAGTCTATGGGCAGACATGATAATAAATGGTCTAGAGTATCATCCGCCAGTGTATTCCAAACACAACGAATAGAAATTTATTTGTCTGTCCACTGAAGAAACGGACAAAGGTAAATCTATCGACATTTGTGTTTAATGAATACTCAACCTTGAACTAGGGCTTAGCTACAAAATTATTCTAAAAATTAGTCCGTTTTAACACGTTGTCCTGGCCAAAAGTGTTTTGAACTGCTTTCAGTACTAGATCATACTAACTTTTCCATGAAGTGGGCGAGAGAAAACTAACAGAGATACATCGAAATTTAATTTGTTGCGAGGGTGTTCATTCGGTTCCCGATGAAAATCACGATTTGGTTGATAGTCGGAGGCAGGGGAGAGATACATCCCACGTAATTCCGCTGGTTCAAGGCATCTTTGCTATCCGGGAGGTTGGATGACTTATGTAATTCGAGTGTGGAAGACAAAGACCTGTTGCCTAAAACAAGGGTTGTGGGGTTCAGGTATAAGGTGGTTTTCGGAAGGCTGAATTAAGTTTTAAAAGTCTGATAGTTGAGGCATAGTTGTGTTTCCTGTGACATCTTTCACGACGGGGTAAATCCATCGTAGTCAATGGGTGATGCAGTCAATCTCCTGCTATGCAATACTCATCTGGAAATCAAAAAATTGAGTGAATTCTAAAACCTGCTACATACCACGTTTGTCAGTATAATACAATTTTCTGTAGTATGGAAATTCGTTTGTTATTCTATGATAAAATAAACAAGATTGAGGAAAACCATGTTCCAACCGTTACTGGTTCCCAATAATTATTATTGTCTTCTGTTTAGTAAAAACGGTTTTTTATCAAACAGTTTCATGTGGTTCTTATGTATCGAAGACTTTCATGACTCTCTCTGCCTCACATTATGATAATACACTCCTCTTTCCTGAAACTAATTGAATCCCGTTGGGGAAATCTTCACGACCGAATTACTTTATATCAATTAAAAATGTTGTCCTAATTCCACGGCAGTATAGGGACGATCACAGGGAGGAACACACACCTTTCATTGTGATCGTCATCAGAGAAAATAGGACGCGATTGAAGAGTCAGATTAGGTCTTATCTGAGTGACTGAACGGCTCGTTCCGTAGTAAAACTGCTTTCAAGACAAAACACGTGATTCAAACAAGTAAAATGTTTATCACTGGGTATACACATTGGCACCTTTGACTTCTTCTTTGCAAGCTTCTATTGTTCGCCGTGCCATTTTATGCACGCTCCTTTGTTGAAAAATGTATATTTTCGTCCAGACATCTACTGACTCGTTCACTTGTGCACGTTGTGGTTTATGCAGAAACTGACTATTTACATTCCTTATGGCTAACGTTGGTCGGCATCCGTGCAGCCGTGATTAGTCACGACGTCAATAATTGAGTAAGCCTGGTTCTGAAAAGAGAGCATTGCTCAAACGATTATGCTTACGATTATGCTTAGCCTATGACCTATGTACATCATTTTAAGATTGAGTTGAGAGACCATCACTTTGAATTGAGAAAGAAACGCTGCTGTCAGATTCGCTTCCCCGTCAGCGCATTTCATTAATCACACGTTTCTTCTACACCCATGATTAACCAACTGTCTTCCCTCGCTCGTTCTGTGCTGAAATAGGGCAGACCTTAGTTGTCCACGTTGCCGAGTTAGTTAACGGACGTTGATTCGATTGATTGATGAAACCGTGCGATTTGCGCGAGGTAGCGAAGCTGGTCCCAACTCTATAAGCATAGAGGACCACGCACTGTTCCCTGAGCTCTACGGGCCACGCTGATCGTAATTGCTGTGATATTGATAACAGTTTGATTACGAAAGTTCTTTCACTTCATCGTCCGTACTAATTAGGACTTTTAGTCGATCGGCCGGGACTTCTCTTCTTAGATGGTGGACAGATGCGCATGTCAGCTAGATTACCAAGGTTACCTGACTGGAACCGGCCTTGTGAACAAATCCAATATAGAAAGAACTGATGTTCAATTCCTGCCGGAACAATACCACATTCTTGTTTGGCGTCCCAGTGGTCACTACTTTCTCGCTCAATCTGCTTGTCAACCGCAAATATGTGAATGTTCACTGTAATGTTACGCAATTTGCGGATATTCCTGGTGCAGCAGCATTGCTTCGTCTGACAAAGCATATCCGTTTTTCACTTCGAAGAGATACCTTCCTCTCTATCACACAAATCCGCTGCCTTGTGTTTGGCTACGGTGCTTGAGGGAAAACAGACCAATCACTGCAAGTCCACCTTAATAACCCTGACCCAAGTCTCCCAACAAATTTTGCTATTCCAATAGGCCCATGATCCACCCAGTGGAAAATTAATCATTCGGAGTACACCGTAAGCACTGAACTGGTGCTTGGTGGTAGTTAATGTGTTCAGGCAATGGTCAGTGTCACTGCACCTACGACCAGCGTGGCCTGTAGCGCGTAGGGAACAGTGCATGGTCCTCTGTGCTTATCGAGTTCGGGTCAGCTCAGCTGTCTAGCGCAAACCGCACGGTTTTACCGATCCACCGGAACGACCTCCGTCGGCGAACTCGGCAGCATGCACAACTAAGTTCTGCCATATTTCACCCCACAGAGCACTGCAAGACAGGTAATCAATCAGAGGGTAGAAGAATCGTTTGATTAATTGGCCAATGCAGTGCGCTGAACGGGGATACGAATCCAACGAAAGCGTTCCTTTCTGAATTCAAATTGACGATTTATCAATTTCAAAACAATTTGTTGTTTCAGTTATCTACTATTTTTCATTTTAACTGATTCACCTTCTCTTCACTCTGTTCTGTATCCCACTCCACCCATCCTCTGTTATTATTATTGTTACTATTGTTGTGTTGTTCGGAGTGTGTTTAAAAAAAATTATTTCATCAATGCTCTGGGAAAAACTACTGCCACTATCGCTCAACCTTTCACACAGTCGGGTCAGTTCGACAGCGGTTATCGATCGATTGGCGACCCAAAATGTTGTTACTCTCCTGCCTCGCTTGCCGGTTGGGTGAATCGCGATTATTGTTCACCCATTTCTACATCCACTTTATTGTGACGGGGTCAACCAATAGAATTTCGACCCAATCAGCGTGAGCAATCCTCCGGACCCATCGCATGGAGGGCGTGTTCAGTTCAGTTCAGTTCAGTTCAGTTTTACAACCATTAACCATGCACTTTCGTGCGCCCGTTTTGGTTGCTGTCTTTTGGTTGTCAATTTGGATAAAAAAGAGCAGAATGAAGATTGGAATGTCGAAGCAAATTCAAGCGGAAGATGGGGAATACATATAGAGTGTGTTAGGAAAATAACGAGTGGATGCACGAGCGCCACTGTTTGCGACACCCAGCCGTATCACTCATTGTCTCTAACCATCGGTGACCGTCATCCCGAGGTCCCCAGCCAGGGATCCTAACGGGGCCTATGTGACCTAGTCTCCTGGTTAGGGTTTTCATACCCTCATGCCAGGTCTTAGCTTGACCGCCCTTTGTTTCTTTCCAATCGCTACCAGCCTTGGCAAACATCGCTCGCCGCGGCAACCTATCTGGTGACATGCGTAGCACATGTTCCAAACAGCGTAATCTATGGAGGTCGATCACTTGTTCCAGTGGACGACCGCGTCCACTGGAACAAGGAGGGCGTGTGCGCTACCGCTATACCAGTCAGCCCGTAACCTGCATGGAAGTCTAACTTGGTGGGAGGCTTTCGACTAGAATTAACAGATTATCATCTGTCTACTTTCGTTGCTGTGGGGTCAAATTAACTGACTGACTATCACTGAACACGACACTTAAACAAACATGAATGGGCAATTTGATTCAGCCATGATAGGAGCTGCTTGGGACAGTGGTAACACACACGCCTTCCATGCGATGGGTCCGGAGTTCAAATCCCGGACGGGACATTGCATATGCACTACTAATGAGCTCTAATAAGAGTGGAACTCGAGTCTAGTGCTTCCGAGTGTATGGTTGAATCGATGAAATGAGGATTGTGCGTGAAGGTGAAGTCCGAAGGATAGTCAGTTCAAATCAATAAATATCAAATATTCCGCACCACTACTCACAAGTAACTATGAATTAAATGCGTATACAGACTTTTGTGGCCTACAGCTAACTGATACGTTTGTCATAAATGCCTGTTGTCTGATTGATAGATTGATTAATTGATTGATTGATCGATTGATTCGCTGGTTGTTAAATATCGATTGGATGGCATAAGGATGTTGGGTAACGTTTGATCCGGTATTTTCCTGCCTGTTCACCTTCCTACGTGTTGAGATTTCTGCTTACTCCTCGGTTTATGAACCGGTTACATGTTTGACATTACTACAAACGTGTTGTTTAGTTCATTGTGCTCATCTGCCTACTTAACTTGAAACACAACGAGACTGTATTTACTGAATACTCCCATGATTGCTGAACCTGTACATACGCATACCAAACTGGTTGACTCTTCTCTTACTTTAAGTGCTGAACGCTACCCAATGAGTTCCCACAGTTTTCCTGCAATTTATTTTTCAATATACCGGCAGATGAATTTTGGCGCCTTTTTGTGAACATTTCGTTTTTCTAGTAGATCTGTATTAGCTTGAATGTGTAATACTGAAACCATTGTTTGCTTCCGGTTGCATGTTTCTACATCACAAAGATCACTTCTGAAACTTGTGCCAATCACTTCGATGTTTTGTGGTTTTCAATCGCAAGACCATTTGTTTGTTTTGTTTTGCTAGACGCATGTAATAACCGTTCTTATGAATAGGACATCTATCAAAGTCCATTGATGTTTTCCTCTGTTTGTATTTCCCGAACTATTTGATGCACATTGCTCACAATTGTAGGTGACAGATTGTCAACACGGATTCCCCGGAAAAACATGGATAATCATCCGTGCATAGATGACACTATCCAGCTGCACACGTTGCCAAGCTCAATCCCCTTTCTATCGGTTCCCTGTCCGTCAGATCATCATCTGATTTGTAACCGCCACGTTCCCGAGCTGTCTGAACATGAACTGACCTCGTCGTGTTCACAAATTGGCAGTCCACATGAGCATCATCCGAGGCCCATCTCCCGTGCAACATGTTATCGACAACCGGTAGAAATGCCCAATGTTTCAACAGCATGTGCCCAAATGATCCAGTTGTCTGAGCCGGATGCTGTGGAGGATGCTGGCTGATGCGTGCGTGGCTCAGATAACCTATTAGCTTTTTTGTTCTTATGAAGTTTTTGGCTATCTTCTTCGACTAGTCGAACCCGGGGCGAGGAGGTACTGAACAATTTGTATCTGTGATAATACACACTAAAAACGAGCAAACACACACGGGAATGCAAATCGCACGTGAGATTCCAGTTATTTCATCCACGAGAAACCGCTATCCTGTATAGACAAGAAAAACAGAATTTTGGAAAACAGATAGCTTGTTACTTTTTGCTGCGAAACTTCAGCACGGTAGCCTGATTTGCCATCAAAGGGATCTTTTAAGTTGTAAACTTGAGTGAAAAATCCAATAACATCAAGAGTGTCTGGTGCCTCTGAACAATGAAATGGGCTAATCCAAGCTTCACACTCTAAATTCATCGAGCCATTCTCACAAGGTGATGACCGTCGACCGTGTAGCTCAGCTGTTCGCGTTTCCAGTCCTGACAGGGACACATAAACTACACACTGCTGACGAGTCCCAAAAAGGACGAAACAGCTGTCCAGTGCTCGTTGTCGGTTATCACAAACACTTCCATCGCATGGGCATTAACGATATCCCAATGAGTGAAATCCACACGCAACACCATCAAGAGTGCCTGTTGCCTCCGAACAATCGAATGAGCTAATAAAAGCTTGATACTGGTAATTGAATCAAAAATGTTTATGCTTTGAAGCTGTTAAAACATCAGCACAGCACTTGATCAAGATCGCATGGGAAAAGTGAGAACGTTGTCCGTCAGTAATGAATAAGATAGGTCGTGACAGAAGTACGTATGCAGACAAGCAATATATATCGACTAGTTCACGCTACGTAGTCAGTCAAACGACAGTGCGCCAAAGCGAAGGTATACGGAGGTTTGAATAAAGAATGCGCACTGTACTAACAGTAAATTACAAAGTAGGAATACCAACTGTGAAAAGCATAACATGATAGAAATGTTATGGATAGACACTTGTTTCCGGGACAAACGCATAGCACCTGACAGTTTTGGTTCGCAATTCGTCGTAGATTGGCAAAATATGATACTATCAGTAGCGGATTTTATCAAGTCAAGTCAAGCCTATACTTTATTTACCATGAAAGGTGAATAGTCAGCAGTAAGAGGCGTTGCAATGCAGGCCGCGGGAAAGCCAGTGATGCGAAGGGGCCCTTGCACTAGCACACACACCGTTGTGCATTGTGCATAACTTTTGCAGGCATTGGAGCTCACATTTCAGTCAAAAAATCATAAACGCCAACCGTCACAAAGTACATAATCAATGAGGGAAAAATTAATTTTACAGACATGGGGACATTTCTTAATCCAAAGTTAGGAAAAAGATCGCTTATTTCCCGCTCTTTATTTGTGAGTAAATAAGTAAGATATAGGTGAATTGCGGTAAGCGTTAATTTCAGATGATATGTGGCGGAATTGGAAGCGTGCTGAATGATGGGAAGGACCACGTGTCAGTTCTGTGTGCAATGGGTGGTCAGGATCTGAGAGAATCCTCTCAGCAAATTCACTCAGGAAGTTAGTTATATGATACTCCAAAATGTTTAACGCTAATAGAAGAGACACGGCTAATAACAGTTAGACCGCGGCGTAAGACTTTGAAACTCTGTTTCAGTAAGCCAGGTAAAATAACTGGGGAACAGGAGAGTAAGATGGGGAAAACACTGATAAACAAGGGTACAAATAACTGACGGGGATGAGCAAAACTGTCTGGGCTTTCGAAGTTGAAGTGATAGGTGCCGCAGTTTACCATTGCAGTTGTGGATAAGATCATGTTTCAAACAGTGACAAAGCGTTTAAATGACAAATAAACATGGCTCAGAGAATGGTCTAGAGATGACAAAGCATCGGTTTTGGTAAATCATGTCATTTTTCCGAAAATGGCGGGAATAAATCGCACCCGAGCCATTTTGTCCTGGTCGAGTTATATTGTTCCTTTTTGCCCCTTCTGGCCACTTAGGTCCTCAAAAATTTAGGGTTAGTAACAAAAATTCCTTACCTAATGGGACAGTCGGTCCATTAATGGTGTTCACTTTGCATCCTATGACAACCCAAAAACCCCCACAAAAATGAAAGGAATAACAAACATCGAACGAACAAGATCGCGGAGAGAACATGATTAAACACGCCATGCTGTCTGTGCAACGGCAGAAGTGAATTCTCGAATCCAATAACGAGCATAAACTTTGAAAAAAATATGTAGCACTGACGAAGGATAGCGATCTAAGAAACCACGAGATATTCCAGTTTCAAGTCTTCATGGAAACACTCCTTGAAATGCTAGCGCTGTGATATATTCCTTTCATACTCTGTCGCTTTAGAGCGAAGTGTCACCTTCAAAAAGAGCATGAAGCCACAATGTTGTAGCATTTGGATTCATCCAAATGAATTCGGTGTAGACATAAAACTTACAAATAATGGCGAGGGTAACAGTTCGTTTAAATATAATCACGTATGAAGTCAACACAAATGTTAGCCTCTTCAAGTCGCGTGAAAAACGCAGGGAACTGATTCAGTCCTTTCACCACTTTGGGCTCTGTGCAACATTTCAAATTTTGAAATATGCCCATATTCGCATTTGGAACACAATTCATAGTTTAAATGAGGGGAGGCGGTTCGGAGGAAACCAATAAAATGTGAGGAATCGTTCACTTCGTGTGTGTGTGTGTTGCACATCGCATTCTCAGATCTGTGCTTCCAGGCGTTTTCAGTTAGGTTACGACGATCGTGTGTCTCAGTTCTGAGGGATCGGTGTTGTGTAAAAATGTTTGTGTGTACGGGCAGAGTGTGCATAAGGGATCGGTTCGCGAACCCAGGGGAGATGGATAGCTTTGATGAGACATATCTGGGCATCTAGTTCGGGGGTCAAATGCTTAATAAAGATGGCCGAGGCTATGGCCAACGTACGCATTCTAACGTCAATCGTACGACAGTTATCTATCCGCATGAAAGAACACTATCCGCGTTGGCTGAGTCACTGTTGTTCGGGATCTATCACTAGGGCGATTCTNTGTGTCAAGACGATGTGATCGATACGTACGCCTCTTGTCTAGGCCCCAACAACTGGAGAAAGAACACTGCTGAGAAAACGACAGTCAGAGTGTATTCTTGATCATGAAACAACAAGCAAATATATGTGGTCAGTTGGGCGTACGCGAGCAGACGTGGTGACGCACCAATCAGATTGTGACCTTGACACTCAGGTTGATCGACCGGACGACAGCTATTTGATTCGCCTTAGTCATCCAATCAGGAGTCGATTCGGCTTGGGCGTCAAGAGCGCACTTGTGGTGTGACGCGCGTCGCTGCGTGGCGGGACGGATTTTGTGCGCTGCGTCCTAACACATTCACAGTGTGATTTGTTTCAGCGAGATGTTAAACCACTGCACTAGTGAGTGACTTAATCGTTCCTGTGTTTACCCATGCGGGGTGGTGGTTACGGAGTCGTTCGGACAAACGCCGCAGCGTGCGGCCTATGTACGTTGTTCGACAGGAACACGTAAATGAGTACAGCATTACTTATCAGGTTCCCCTGAGCCGGTTTAAATATGTTAGAATCCGTATGTTGAAATGAAATCCGGTAGGCAAAACAAGCTGTTTTTCGAAAAATTTATAAACTGGCCATTTACATATATAGGTAGAGTATTTAATATTGTTTGATCCTGTGCGAGGTAGATCCTATTAACCTATGTACAAAGCGATGCTACGTGCGTTACCAATTAGACTGAGCGTTGGCTTTGGCCGAAACCAAATATTTGACCCCCGAACCAGGTACCCAGAAGCGTCTTATCCAAGCTCTCCATCTCCTCTGGGTTCGCGAACCCACCCCTCCTTCTGCCCACATACATACATTTTCGCCCTATAACACTAATCCCTGGGTCACATGGCCAACGTAACTGAAACCCCAACAAGCATAGATATGAGAACGCGGTGTGCAATACACACGTACACACACACAGACGCAAAGTGAACGATTCCTCGCATTTTATTGTTCTCCTCCCAACCCCCATTTTTTTTCTCCTCATATACACTGTAACGGCATGATTATGAGTTATTGAAAGTAATTGTTCTCCTGAAATTGTGTTCTAAATACCGGGTTGTTCTGCATATGTGGAAGTGCAAAATTCTCTAAATCGAAGTAAAGAAGTCTTGACCCAAGCTGGATGCTTTTTCTTGCATGGCACCAATCAAATAATCTGATGCTTTCAACCTAAAAGCGATCATTGATCAAATAGTACGAGCTATTGAGCGCTGAAAGTGAACCACTATGTGAAAAGATCAATGCTATCAGTGTGACCTCGTAGCTTGGCTAGCAGGGCGTATGCTGTACAAAAGCGTAGGTGGTATCCATGCGTGGGTTCGAATCTCACCGAGGTTACCGAACTTTTCTCAATTACAACGAACCACTATATGTTTGTTGCAAGCGAAGAAAATGCTGTTAGTGTTCGTGAATGCTCTCGCCTCACTCCTCCGGCACTAACTCACTCCTGTCGCATTAAATTGCACCCCAAAGTGTACCGATTTGTACCGTCTTTCCCTTGCATGATGAGCGAAATTTCCAAATTGAATCCCTGGAGTTAAATTTACATTCCCAACCCGAGAACACAATGCCCTTTTGAGAATTTTCCTTCTGACACTAATTAAAAAACCCAATAGTGAGAAAAAATCACGATATGACTAATGGTCATGAATATTCATAAACATGCTTAGTTTTGTTCAGAGAACTCACAAAATAACGTCCCGCGTGACGTACGAAGCTTGAAAGCAAAGAATTGATAAGACTATCGTGGTAACTTATAGCAGTTGTCTCCACGATCGATATACCAGATAACTATTGTGAACTCAGAGAGGAGCCGTCCAACAATGCCACATATCCAAACAAAGATTTCTTTCTAATTTCACCAGCAGAATGCTCTTCATATCAACTAGGCCCGAACAAAGGTGGCCATGTTCCTAACAGCGTCTTTCTGGCTTTATGTGACC